AGAAAACACCAAATAGGCGTTTCATTGATTGAATTCACCTAAGAAGTTGACTGGACTATAATCCATTCAAATCTCATTTATGCGACGTCAAAACAAACACGATTGCGCGATCTCAAAATTCTCGCGCTCCTATTAGCCAGCGGGCCATGATTGCCTGCACAGGCAACGACAAGCGAATAAAAGCGACGTAAATGAGGATTGCATAGGGTCTTAGATGCTAACTTTTCAGAGTAGTCAACGTTGGGACTTCCTTTAGTATAGATTTTGGGAAAATAAGTAGTAACCAGGTGTACACCCAGTCTTAATTAAGATTACCGAGATGTTAGGCTCCGCAAAATAAATCAAACCGAAACAAGACCTAATCCGGTTTGCACGTGAACGCAAGATTCTCAAAACGTGTATATCGCGGATGCATGACTACACAGCGTCAGCCACTCCACACACAGCATGACGCATGGTAGCCTCTCGTAGCATGTGTCGAGCTCTCAAGGTGTTAGAAACCCACAAAAAAGTTCAGAGGAATTGCTACGGAGTTGTGTTAATGAGTTGCATTACATAGCCTACGGCAAAAACGTAAATAGTTTATTTTTACGGCGTCCTGACATTTGAATTGATTTAGATGCGAATTATATATTTATTATAAGGTGTTGCTGAGGCTTGCTTCAGATTCATGCATAATTCAAAGGATCTCCTAAGCTTTACGCCGCCGCAACTTTTCAAAGCTTTCGTTTTCTTCTATTTTTTGTCGATAGGGAAAAGTCTATTCATCTGCCAAAGGGTCTTCGTAACTAAAGTAATTGTGCTGTCATTCTCCGTTTTTTAGTTTTCTCTGAATGGTGAATCGGATGTGATCGTCGTAACATTAGTTGCAGAGATTTTAAAACTCAGAATTACGAAAAACAATCACTTTTTTTTTATTCAAAGTTTATTCAAATTCAAAAACCAATATAACTTACAAATTAAAAACAACCTTCAGTACAATTTAAATAAAAAAAGCTTCAAAAATACATGAGCTTGTATGCTCTTGCTACCCTGAATAACCAAAATTGCAACAGAAATCTGAGCAAAGATACTAGCATCAGATCTAGAACCAGCAAGTAACGGTATATGAATTGTGAAAATTCTGTATACTTTCGTAAAGGGTAAATGTCTGGATCTTGTCGTCACAAATCCTAAATTAAGTTTCTGCATAAACAAATCTAAGATTCATAACAATAGTACAGAAGCATACTAAAAACACTCAGAAGTATAAATATAGAGTACATAAAATATGAATATCTGAAATATGATAATAGAGGGATATTTCGAGGTCAAACTATGTTGTTTAAACAATAAAAATTTTGCGTAAAGGTTAAGCAGAGAAACAAGAGTACTACAGTTTACTACAAAAGAATTTACTACAAAATAATAGACACCTAAGCTATAAGCTTGTGTGTGTCATACAATATACAAATTTAATACATGGCTAATGGTCATAAGGTATATTATGAGCAAATGTATATAAAAAAAGGAAATAAGAAAAAACATTAGATAGAAACGAAATTACTGAGTTGAGTCAAGCTACCGTCGATGCAAGCATGTCAAAGTTATTTAAGATGAACTTCTTAATTCTTTTTTTTGAAACTATACTTCGAGAGGATTTTATATTCTAGGGGTAATTTATTATACAACCTAATGCCATCAAACTTTATGCATTTTTGGCAAACAGATGTATTCACTCTGGTATAGGTGTAACTTATATTTATTTTAGTTTCATAAGCGTGGCTGGTTGGAACATTGTTTCGGGAGTGAACAAATTTTAGAGCAGCAAAAATATATAAACCTCTAACATTCAAAAGATCATTTTCAATGTAAACAAATCTGCAACTTGACCTACATGGGATACGAAAAATAGTCCTGACAATATAATTTTGCGTGGTTTGTAGTATTTTTAAAGTACTAGTGTATGCGGCTCCCCAAATACTTATCCCGTAAGTTAGTAGAGACCCCACAAACGAGTTATATATTGAGAGAAGACTCTTTCTGCTTGAGATATTCCTAAGAATGAAAAACTTATGAATAATTCTCCTTAATTTTGATGCCAAAAGCTCGGCATGACTCTGCCATTTTAAATTACTGTCAAAAATGATTCCTAAGTATCTAATAACTTCAACTCTTTCGACAGTGTCAGCACTATCATTTATAATTAATGTTCGGTGGTGTAATGGCATGCCTGCTTTGGTTGGAGAAAACGTTACATACTTAGTTTTAGAGATATTAAGTTTAAGTAAATTGTTATCCAACCAGCATTTGACTTTATTTAATGACAACTCGGCATTCCGTATTGCGTCATCCCATGAATGACCAGTGCAAACAAAAACAGTATCGTCGGCATATGATATCATCTTACAGTTGAAATTACATCGAAGTAGTTCATTTATGTATATGAGGAACAGTGTTGGTCCCAAAACTGTCCCCTGAGGCACACCTATTTTGATCTTTTGAATGTTGCTTAAATCTGACCCTACCTTAACTTGTTGTAATCGATCAGCCAAATAGTTCTCAAATAAGTCCAGAACTCCACTACGCACTCCAACACTTTCTAGTTTCTTTAATAAAATTGTATGAGATACTGAATCGAAAGCCTTTTGAAGATCTAGGAAAACTGTAACAGTCTTATTTCCATCTTGAAAATTGTCAAGCACTTGTCCTGTAAGTTCTTGTAGAGATTGCTCTGTATTGCAATTTTTGCGGAACCCAAATTGACAGTTCGATATTATGTCATATTTCTCAAGAAAAGAACAAAGTCTGTTATTCAAACACTTCTCAAAAATCTTCCACAATACATTGATAACTGAAATAGGTCTATAATTGAACATATTGTCTTTACTTCCAGATTTAAATATTGGTGTCACTATGCTTTCTTTAAATTGGCGAGGAATTACTGAGGATTTGAAACAGAGGTTGATAATGTGAGTTATAGGGTGACTGATATACTTCATGATCATCTTGATAGTTTCAGTGTGTAAGCCATCTTTTCCGGGTGCGCTATTATTTTTCAGATTACAACCTATTTGTTGTAACTCTATATTATCCACTGGAGTTAGAAACATAGAGTGAGCAATGTTGACGACATGAGGATCTGATGTATCAAGAATTGAGTTTTGATCAATCTGACTTGTTATTTGCTCACCTATATCAACAAAATATTTATTAAAAACACAGGCTATGTCAGTGGGAGCGTCCAGCTGCTGATTATTGTGATTAATTGATTTTACGTCATTTTTTTTTATTTTGTCAGCATTAGTTACCTCATTAATAACATCCCAGCTCTTCCTATAGTTATTACCAGCTAAAATGAGTTTTTGTGTATAATATTGATTTTTAGAGATCTTAATAAGATTAGTTACTCTGTTTCTGTAGGAGATATAGGACTGTCTCAATGTCAAATTATCATTATCTTTCGTCAAACTCTGTTTCAACTCATCTCTCTTCTTGATCGAAGTAAGAATACCTTCAGTCATCCACGGCTTGCGTTTTCTGGTCTTACTATTTATTTTTAAATAATAAGTTGAATGATCTATGCCTTTATATAATTCATTATAGAAGTTATCAGTTGCTTTTTGGACATCACTCTCTGAAAAAACACTGCCCCAAGTCACCACTTGTAAATAATCTGTCAACTTTTTCTCATCAATTTTCTTAAATTCATAGCTGTTTTTATTAATGATACAATTACTTCATTTCAAATACCCAAAATTGAACAAAACAGGATAATGATCGGTCATACAATTTTCCAAAAGTATTGGTTTACACTCAATTGCTGTTTCAGAGACCTTAAATCTGTTTGCCTTCAAAAATATGTGGTCGATAATCGTAGATGAGTTAGAATCTACCCTAGTAGGTGTATTAATCTGAGATATGTACCCGTTCTGTTGCAACATATTCACGTATCTTAAATTACTGTATTCATGTTCTCTCAATAAGTCTATATTTATATCACCCACCAACAACGAAATGTCACAGTTTGCAGTCCTTCTCAAATACGAATCCAAATTGTTTACAAAATCCTGTACATTCGTGGGGTTAGGCCTGTAGATACCAGTAATACTGAAACTGTTATTGTTGAAAATAAAGCTACAATTCAATGCCGTCACTACATCTATCATTTTTATGGAAACATTTGCCGAAATGTCATCTCTTACATACATATAAACCCCATCGCATTTATTATACTTGGCTTCATTATAGTAAATTTGGAAGCCATTTATTTTATAACTGTCGATATTACTGATATTCCAGGTCTCACCCAAAACAATGATACCTATAGTTTTATTCTTATTTAACACCGCTATGTTTATACAAAGCTCATCATAGTGAGCTTGCAAGCTCCTGATGAAGTATAGTGAAGTTTAACTTATCACTTCTCTCAAACAGAACACTATTTAATTCATCAAAATTAGAACTGATGGTCGTGATATTGTTATAATCCTCTAAAATATTCAAAGCTGTATCAATATCAGTCATATACAAACCAAGCTAAACTCAATATGAATGCAGAAAAAACTGAAACTAACTAAACTGCTACAACTAAACAATGGCTCAGTTATGCAACAAATTACAACTCGCAGAAAAGGAAGGAGAAAAAAAAAAGAAAAGAAAAAAAGCAATAAACCAAAATGAAAAGCTCACGTCCACTCTGCAGCAACCTGAACAGTACATTACTGCGCCATGTTATTCAAGTCCTCTTCCGTTTTTATCTGTAACTTGTTTTCTCGCAGTTTCACCCATATTTCTCCGTTATAAAACCAGGTCTTCTGCTTACCCCATTTCTGCACGGCCTTTTGATGCAGGTTATATCGAGCATGCGACATATCTTCAGTAAGAGTTATTCCTGAACCTTTCAGCAACTTCCTGTTTCTCAGAAGCTTCATTTTCAGGTTATGAGAATTTACAGTAAACAAGACAGAACGCTGTTCGTTCTTCTTTCTTCCTAACCAAAAACAATTTTCAATTTTCTCTTACAAAACTCGAGTTTTTAGGTTATCTTCGCATAAGGTAAGCACCTGCTCCAGGACACTTGTACCATGTGAATCCTTCATGCCAACTATTCTAAAAGATTTCCTACGTGCATGTTGTTGTAATTTTTCCAAATCACACTCTAGTTTATTGTTAGCATGTCTCAGGTCCACTATTTGTTTTTCTAGCTCGACCATTTTTTGTTGAGATTCCTTTATACCCAGTTTCTGTTCGATTTTATCAGAAATAAGCGTTAAGAATTTATCATCACTGAGCAATTCTTCAATGGTTTGCTTTATAATTAATTTAATATCGGCCATTTGATCTCGTGTCAATGGCATATTGATTTAGCGTCCACTAACATTTCAGAGCAGAAAAACCAAATTATTTAATTCCACTTATTACTGGAGGTTTTTCAGATTTTCCGCAGAGCGACACACAGCACGTCTACTCTCTCACCATCTCTACTGTCTCAAACAATGAATTGGAGGAACCTTGGAAAAATATTATAAGCAAAAAATTAATGGTTCAATTTTCCTTAAAACTCAAACTTGTTCCATTTTTATTTCCAGACTTTTGAATATAATCAACTAAGTCAATCTCCCGACTTCATTTTCTTGGATTAGAATCTTTGTGGGTGGTCAAAGAATTTTTTGGAGATGCCAAAAAAATCCAAAATTGGTGTATTGTCGTTTTTTAACTGTCTGAACCACTTAGGGCGAAGTAAAAAATTTTGTATTGTTAAAATTATGTCAGTCTACCTGATTTCATTTTTTTTTTTTGATTATTCATGATTGATGATCGTAAATCGGAACATTTGACATCATCTTCAAACTTCGATTTCCGGTTATTCACGAGCTTCTGGTAATTATAGGACGTAGGTGAATTTTTTTTATGGGGTAAGCAAAAAAATGAATTTCAGCGTTTTTCGACTTTCTGTTCACTTTAGGGTGTAATTAAATAGTTTATCGTGTAAAAATTTTCGAATTACGAATAACTAATTCTCAACAATGAATGCAAACGTGAGGTCTGGAAAAATATTATGAGCAAAAATTTGAGTGGTTCAATTTTCTTTTAAAAGTATCAAGCTTTCTCACTTCGTGGCATAGTCATAAACATTTTTTGGTGGCCGATAATTTTCATGTTTCGTGTTTCTAAACTTTTAAATAGATTCATATCAATAAGTGGGAAATACATAGTCAATCTACTGCAATTCATTTTATAGGATTGTAATTGGCGTAGTCAAAGTGATAATTTTCGTGTATATAAAATTTAAATCAAAGCCTACACAGTACAAAATCAACCGATTTGACTTCATTTCTTGAACCGTTTCGAAGATTATGTTCGATGATTTTAGAGTTTTAGAGCTTCTAACAATCCTAGGACGTGTTTCAAGAATTTTTGGAGGGGTAAAATTTACAAAAATCCAAACTTAGTTCTTTGTCGTTTTTCAACTATTTACCTAGTTTAGCGCGTAGTAAAAAATGTTTGATGCTAAAATTAGTCTGTCTACACTTTTTAACCTTTTTTATATGGATCTGTTGTCTGTCCGGTAGTCTTTTGTCTCTCTATTACTCGGACAGTACCGATCGGACTTTAACGAAATTTCTGCACAAGATTACTAACATGCCAAGAACGAGTTTCTGATGATTTTAAGGCGTAGGGAAACAGTTTTTAAGGGTCAACATTTAAAAAAAGATACATTTTATATTCGACGTTTTTCAACTTTCTGATCACTTTCGAGTGTAGCTGGAAGAATCTTTTATAGAGTCACGAATATTATGTTTCACCAGTTCATTATAAATATCTTATTCGAGTTTCTGTTAATTTTAGGACGTAGTAAAAAAAGCTTATTTAGATGGGTCAGAATTAAAAAGAATGATCAGAAGCTCGTTCTTCAATCTCCTAGTCACTTATTGATAGTTAAAAAAATATAAAACTAAAATTTCGAAATACAACTTCAAGAATCTTTGAATTTTGAATAAACTCATATCGAAATGCGCGGGAAGCACTGAGTCAGTCTACTTGGCTCTATTATACTTTCCACGACTACTGACCAGGAAGTATTGTAATCGCGAAAATTTTCGAAACAAATGAAGGGTACAGGGAAAAAAGATTAATATATATATATATATATATATATATATATATAATAATAATAATAATAATAATAATAGTAATAATAATAATAATAATAATAATGATAATAATGATAATAATAATAATAACAATTATAATAATTTATTGTCATAAGGTTTACAGTGGTAAACATAGATAACGTCAACATGAGAATAAATAAACACTTTGATAGCACAATTACACATTTAAAAGCATTATTGTCACACGTACACACAAAAACATTACATCAAAAAAAAACTATGGACAATTATAATATTCATTCAGTGAATTAAAGGCCTTTTCTATTAAATAAGCTTTCGATGTTTTTTTGAAGCCATAATATGTAGAAAATAAGTTACAGGGTGGGTCAGAGATCTGACGGAGTAGAATAGATTCCTTATTATGAGGAATTGAAAAAAGGTAAGTTATAAAAAAATTATATGCATGGTAGCCCAAAAGTGAAAGCAGTCTAAACGTATTTTTAGTGCTAATCCATCTTTTTTTTGTATTTTGAGATTCTCTTTATGATTTCAAACATTTTTTATGTGTTAGCACCCATACCTGAATTCAACTGTTTCTGAGATATTGAGGTTAGAAATGAGCCTTTCGTCATATACGGCACCCTATGAAATCTAAGGGTCTAAGCTGAAATTTATCACACAGGACCTAGAACATGAGAAAAAGGTGATTTTCTAACCTCAATATCTCAAACACAGACTTTTTTTATATACTCCAATCACCACGAAGGCCTAAGGCCTAAACACCCATGGGGTACCGTGGGGCTATAGGGGGATACAGGGGAAAGGGGGAACGCCACACGGACTCTGGCATGCACACATTCTGGCCCCGCCTACGAGATCCGCCGGGTGGTACCTCCGCGTTCGACATTTCTAAGTATTTTTTTTTTAATTGAGACAAGAGAAAAACAATGAACCAACAAACTTTATTCAATAGAATATAGAACAAACAAAACAAAATTAATGGTAACTGCTTAAAAATGATTACCCAACGTTTATTTCTTTCGTCGCGGATTGGTGTATGGTAAATTGTTGTATTAGCTACAAGTTTCGGTGAAGATCAGTGGACGTTCACCTTTTTTTTCATACAATGGCTGTGACATTCATTTTTGTTTATTGGTCTGTCCGCTAATCTTATAACCGCCTATAACTTGAGAAGTACCGCTCGGATTTCGATGAAATCGTTACACTATGTTGCTACTATGTCAAGGACGCAAAAGCTTTGTGGTTTTAGAAAATCGGTTCAGTGGCGGCGGAGAAAAAGCCTATATTCGACCTCCTTTCTTGCACGATCAACCCAATCCACAGCTTCGCTGATGACAGCACTCTACATGCAGGAATTCAGAGTGACAAGAAGATCTCTGCCGCTGAGATGGAAAAAAGAGGAATAAAGACGACTTCCTCTATGGCGAGAGACCTGGAGGTTATCACTGCTTGGGGACGCAGCAATCTTGTACAGTTTAATGCTTTCAAAACACAGCACTGAGTACTTTGACGAACAAAAAGCGTCCTAGCGCTCATCCGGTTTCGATGAATGGCCGAGTTCTGCCAAAGAGTAATTGATTTCGGCTAGTTGGAGTCCAGATCACCGAGGACCTTATCTGGCACGAACACATCTCGTCAATAGCGGCAGCTGCTGGGAAAAAGCTAGGCTACTTGTTTAGGGCTCAGAAGTACTTTTCTCCGCATGACCTTCTCACTCTGACTTTGGCGTCCCATCCTAACCGTGTCAGACTTCATACATCCAGAACTGGCCGAGACGACCGCTCCTTTTTCCCGAGGGTTTCGAGATTGTGGAACAATCTACAAAAGGAAGCTTTTTCCAGTTCTACTAACCTTAGGCAGTTCAAAAATCGTATTAACAAAATGTCTTTGGGATCATCATAGCAGCCGCGGTGTCCCGGCATTTAGGCTTCTGCCTGCGCGGCTGCTTCGGTATAAAAAAAGTAAATATTTGTCAAACTTCGTTTTCTGATGTTTTCGACTATTCTGATCATGTTCGGATTTTTTTTTTGTAGGGATTAAAATTGGGAGTTAGAGTGGAGGATATATCTCAATATTTTGACGTTGGTATATTTTTACGCCCCCAACCCAGTGGCGGATTTAAAGGGGGGCGCGGGGGTTGCGCGCCCCCCCCTAGACGTCTTGACACTTTTGTAATCTAACATAATTGTGTTACTTTCTGACACATCACGGCGACAGGGGCATACTAACTATAAGGTATTACTATAGGAACTGAGCATTGCAATTTTCTGGTATCGTTTGGAATTCGAAACGCTGTCCCTCTTTGACGTCACTTACGTTTACAGCACAATTGTTACGATTTATACGTATTGTGACTAGTGACAAATCTAAGTCTGAGTAATATATTAGTTATACAGATTGCACTTAAAAAGTGATTTATGTTCTGTTTGTTACTCAATAGTAATTTGAAAAGTGTTAGATGGACGCCTAAAACAAGACATTTATGAGATTTGTTTAGCGGTGCGCCTGTGGCCTGTCCAGAAAGTGCGTACATCGATGCTCAAAGTCAAAACTACACGTCCTGCATCTCTTCCCGCGCATGTGTCTGTTTATGTTACTATATTGAATTCGTTTCAATCACAGCGCTTCTGCACTTCACGTGATTATGTACAGCCCTTTATATTTCCGTTCTTGTTTTGTTCAAACACACATTATCAAAATAATTACGATCTAACAGATATCGTTTTTTTTCCAAAGATTTACAACATTTTTACATGCGGTGTACACCGATTCGAAAAGTGAGAAAACAACAACAATGCCGTAAATCTAAGTTCGACAATGAAAGTCTGAAGAATAACTGTAACATCTATATTGAGTGAGTGATATAATAGAAGTGCTTGATTGTGTCAGTATTTTCACCAATTACTTGATTTGTTTAATGGGCAGTTCAGAGTCTTAATCCTTAAGCTTAGTACACACTAGAAGTCCCCGTTGCGCAACTTTTGCCTATAGGCAGTCGGGAGACGGTGTCAAGACAAGGCCTATAGAGGGTCTATAGACATCCTTCTTTGTCTCGTCTAGTGTCTATACGATAATGTGAATTTTTCGGTTTCATGTTCGTTTTCGCCATCATCAATTCATTGTTTTGTGTGGAATGAACTGGGCTCCCTCGGAATATTTTTTTTTTCGGTTAACAGAGCAATGAAGTTTTTAGTTTTAATCTTTAATATTATTACACTAGT